TATACTTTAAAAATAACTTCCGCAGCGAACGTGTTAATTTTCCAATTAAAGTTTAAAAATATATTGCGACAAAAAACTGAAATCTAATATTATAATTTTAATATTGTATTTTCCACTTACCGTTTCCTGTTAAAAAGTTGTAAAATAAGGTTAAAAAAACACCTTACACATAGGAACTAGTCGACTACACACAAGGGCTCAACACAACGAGGAACAAAATAAAAATACAAGGTATGCTGGATAAATTGGAGCTCAGGGATTTACCAAAATATTTCAAATGTTGCCAATTTTACATTATATGGTATTTGTATGGGCCTTTTTTGAAATAATTGTGGATTTATCTGTATTTCCGGATTTTAAAGGACATTTGCCGTCCTTTGACACCTTTCAAAAGGACAAAGGACAGTATTTAGAAATAAAGGACTGTCCTTTGAAATAAAGGACGGTTGGCAACCCTAATTAGAAGTTTATGGGGAACGGAAAAAGATATCGATTTGAAACTTTAAAAGCGTTTATAATCCATTTAAGTCTATTTTTCTAAAATATTTTGAACAAAATGCCAAAAAGTGACATCAACTTTGTTATTTTAAATAGAACACCCCATTTATTTATACATTTTTATATTCTACATACAATTCTTAGTAATATTCCTATACCTAAAGTGAATAGGTAGTTTTTGAGTTAATAATTTTTTTCGTTAAAATTTGGCAAATGCGCGTCAGTCAAAAATAGCCTATAACTGTTATTAGGTTTGCAAATATAGGGCCACCCGGGTGGCATTTTTGGAATCTTAAAACATTGTTTAAAAGATTCACTGTCAATTCTTTAACATTTTTCAACAAATTACCTGAGAAAACTCAGGGCAAAAAAGGCTAACTTGAAAAGTTAATTACTTTTTATTTTACAAGTAACACCCGGTATTAACACTTTAAGTTAGCCTCTTTTGCCCTGGGTTTTTTCAGGTAATTTGTTAAAAAATATTTTAAAAAATTGAGATGGAATCTTTTAAACAATGTTTTAAGATTCCAAAAATTCCACTGCCATATCTGCAAACCTAATAACAAAAAAGTTATAGGCTATTTATGATTGACGCGCATTTGTCAAATTTTAACAACAAAAATTTCCCTAGAAACTTTTAATTTAAGTACCACGAATGTGAAACACCCTATATAAATTGTATCTTCTTAAAGTAGGTCATTTTTGAGTATTTTTTGTTTTTGAATTTTGTTTTGTGTGAACTCTTTCTAGATCCTGAATGGCTATGACAAAACTTCCAAGGTAACAAGGTAAAAATAATACAAAAAGCTTGTGCACGTCAAAAGCGAATTTCACTAAATTTAAGGCAGTACCTATTTAGACATTTTTATAATTCTTACATCAGTACTTCACACCAGTATAGGGCGCCGTTTTATTTTTTATTCAGGAATGATTTTTTTCTACACCCGAGCGAAAAGTACAAATTTTCGCTTTAAAATGAAAGCGCAAATTGCACTTTTCCGAGGAGCAAGAGTTTCTTTACTTTGTCGCTCGACAAACGCTCGCTTGTTACCATGGAAACCATAATAACGAAACAAAAGTCAAATTTGAGGTTATCAATATTATTAATTATTATCAAACATTTTTTTAAAAACATCGGTTGTAGAAAAAATCATGTGTGAAATTCGAGCGCAAAGTGACATTGCCGTCAAACTTCTCGTTCAGAGCGTACAATATATCACTTTGCGCTCTTAATACAAAAATAGCTATTATGTGATAATATAGTGTAATATTTTTAATTAGATAAAAAATATCACATAAGAATTTTTGGTAAATTCTCATTTAACTTGTTTCGATGCTGTATCCACTTATTTTTGTGAAAACTAATTCTCGCTCAAGGTTTTTTTTAGTGTAATGAGCATGTAGCATTTCAAGGTAATGAGAACTTAAATTATGACAACCCTAATCTATTAATTTTTTCCTAAAATGCAGGCTTTATGTTGTAAAGGCAGTAAAGTAGAACTTTACTGCCGATTTATTTTAATTTACGATTGTTGACTACTCTACTGCCGATTTCGGATAAAATAATTTTTTGTCAATCTATTTTTAGTTAATCAAGCACTAACATTAGTTGTTTGAACGGCCATTTTGTTGAAATATTCATCGATGTTAGGATATTGCAGTTGGTGACCGGTAACTTACGTGACATTTGCAACATAAAGCCTGCATTTTAGGAAAAAATTAATAGATTAGGGTTGTTATAATTTAAGTTCTCATTACCTTGAAATGCTACATGCTTATTACACTAAAAAAAACCTTGAGCGAGAATTAGTTTTCACAAAAATAAGTGGATACAGCATCGGAACAAGTTATATGAGAATTGACCTTTTATCCAGTGAATTAATAATATCATAGCAGATATTTTAAAATTAGATTTAATTTTGATGCCAAACAGATATTTTTAATTACTTGGATTTAAAATATCTGGGTTTTTTTTGCTGAACACATATTATTAGTTCGCTTGATTAAAAATATCATAGGAAATTTTTAAATGTATTTTTAATATCATAGGAGATATTTCTAACTCCGACTGATTGAGAGTTTGGATACCCCTGTTATTCCAAACGCCACAAAAACCGACCCACTGAGTGGCGGCCGGTGGATTTTATGTATACCAATATCTCAGTTATTAGACATAGGACCCACGCCAAATTTATAATAGTTTATAATGACATTTAATAAACAAGTTCGGCGCAAACAGAATTTAAATTGAAGTTTGCGAAAAAAAGTTAGTTTTTCCTGTTGCCTCACCCGCCTCCAGGCCCCCCTATTTGAAATAATTCAAATTAAAGTGGTGCAATTTATTATCTTCTATAATTTATCGACAAATTTAAAATTTTATTAAAAAAATCCAAATATTACAGGTTTTATACCATTTTAACGATTTTTTTATTTTAATAAAATTAATATTAAAAATTTAAAATCGAATAAAATCTCTAATATTATTTGGATTTGGATTATTTGGATTTGTTTAATAAAATTTTACATTTGTCGATAAATTATAGTATACTAGTAGATAATAAATTGCACCACTTTAATTTGAATTATCTCAAATAGGGGGGCCTGGAGGAGGGTAAGGCAACAGGAAAAACTAACTTTTTTCGCAAACTTCAATTTAAATTCTGTTTGCGCCGAACTTGTTTATTTAATGTCATTATAAACTATTATAAATTTGGTGTGGGTCCCAGGTCTAATAACTGAGATATTGGTATACATAAAATCCACCGGCCGCAACTCCAAACAAACTAAGGTGCACTGTCCTTGTTCAGAACATGCTGATTATACAGCCATCTAGCGACAGAATTAGTTTGGAATGCCAGGGGGTCCAAATTTTCAATCTGAATTAAAAATATCTGCTTATTTTATAAAATAAAAATTCAATTGAATTAAAAATATCTCCCATGATGTTTTATCCTTTAATACTTTTAATTTGGCGGATTAAAAATATGTGTTTAACTAAAAAATACAAATACAGGGTGAGTTTTAAGTTGACGCGTTCCTTTTAACATGCGTGTGGAAATCAGATAGACAAATAAATGTTTTTAGTAACTTTTTTAACAAAACTCAAAAATAAGCGAGTTATAGCCAAAGATTATCTTTGGTTATAGCCCTTCAAAGTTTAATTAAATTTTGAGCCGGTCCTGGCTATTGTTAACAAAAAACATAACCATAAAAATAAAAAAAAACAAAATAAACAATGCAAAATGTCATTTATGACAATTAACATAACCATTTAAACCAAAATGACACATTTTTAACAATAATTGAGGCCCAAAAAAACTTAAGTAAATAATGACATTTTTCATTGCTAAATGTCATATTGATTTAAATGGTTATGTTTTTTGTCATAGATGACATTTTGCATTGTTTATTTTGTTATTTTTATTTTTATGGTTATGCTTTTTTTTAACAATAGCCAGGACCGGCTCAAAATTTAATTAAATTTTGAAGGGCTATAACTCTCTTATTTTTAAGTTTTGATAAAAAAGTTACTTAAAATATTTATTTGTCTATCTAGGTAATTTCTACAAGAATCAGATATTTTAAATTCAATAAATTAAAAATATCAGGAATATTCCAAGCGTCCCAGAATATTCCCAGGAATATTCCTAGCATAATCAAATGTCCGCTTTTTGGTTAACCCAGGCATCATAAAACGAATATTCCATATATCTGCCTGCAGAAGACTCAAGGATTGTTAGGGGAATATTCCTTGATATAATTTGGGGATTATTCCCAGCCCTTATTGCCTCTTATACCCAGGAACTTAACTTAAGTATAGCCATTATTGAGTTACTGAGTAGATTAGTCCCAATCTAATCATTGTTTGGCTGTGCCATCACAGACGCACATCTCCAGTTGATATTATTAACCTATCGGTATATATAGTTATCAAGCGTGCGTAAGCAACGGTGAGAGGTATTGCAACTAAACTAATGAATATTCACTGGGAATGTTCTTAGATGATGCTTGGAACTTTTAGAGGAATATTCCCAATGAATATTCCTAGAATGAAGCGGATTATTCCTAGGCGATAGGGAATATTCCTGGAATATTTTCGATCCTTCATTGCAGCCTGGGATGATATTTTAATTAGCAGAATAATTTATGATATTTTTTATCTGATTGAAAATATCACTTTAGTGTTACCACAAAAAAATAATTCCTGAATAAAAGATAAAACGTCGCCCCATACACCAGAACGCTTTTTTTAGAAAAATAGCAAACTAGTATTTCTTTTTAAGGCCAGTATTATACTATAATAGGTGACCTTGTTGTTGACTAGTGTACTCAATATTATTAAAAATCGAAGAAGCTTAGGGCATGTGGCACTCATTAACATTCCAAATGTCTTTGAATGAATCATACCAAACAAAAAACTCATAGGCCATACCGCGATCTAAGAGGAGGGCACCTCACCTAGTACGCATACCAACGTAGCCAAAATAAACCGCTGTTTTCAGCTCTGTCGATGTCGCAACCGCGTCGACGCAGCATCTACAACTTCCCGTTCTTCCTCAAGCACCAGGACGCAGTGGAAACGCACGAAGAATCCACCTCGCCTTTGCCCCAGAAAAAAACCATCTGCGTCACGCAGTCTCTGCATCCCGCAATGGCCGAGGACGTTGCGAAGCCTAAGCGCGGCAGCATCATACGCCGCAAACGCGTTGGCTCTGTGAAAAACCGACCGGCGCCGAGCCTCGCGCCCACGCAAAGGGCCGAGAGCGAACCTGTCAACACCGCTGACGTCAGCATACTCGTGACGGAAGCCTCCCCTGAGACAGCGTTCGTAAGACCGTCTCTACTTAGACAGCAAAGTGAGGCCACTGTTGTGCAAGTTTTGGTACACAGAGAGAGTGAAGAGTATACGCAAGAAGACGAGGATACGCCTCAAATAACAGTGACATCGGGTAGTGATCCGAATGTGGCCGAGTTAGGCTCGAGTGTGGCCGATGGACAGGGTACAATCGATATAACAGAGACCGATAGCTGATTCGTAGAGACACCACCGCAGTGAGTGACTTGTGATAAGTAATTTTTAAGAGTTATGTAATTTGTTATGTTTGTTGAACGTAATTTTAGATAACATATCATTATTTTTCCTTAATTATTCCCTAAATAAATAAATAGTATTAAGTTTTTTTTGTGTTAAATCGTTTTTATTATAAAATGGTAAAGTGAATTAATTCTAATTCAAACGCCTCTATGGGCACAAATTGTAAATAAGATTTAGCTCGCATTTATTAATTTTAATAAATTGTTCGTTAAGCGCGTGTTCTTTTCTAGAAAATTAAATAATTAAAAGCTACCCATGGAGTGCTAATGCTAGTGTAGTACACATAGAAATAATAGGTGGCGCTTTTTAAAATCTCACTTGGTGAGTTTTGTATTTATTGATGATAAAAATGTAAAATTGACTAGTGAGAGAAAGAGGAGAGTTCTCGATCGTGAAGTTAGCCGCACAAGCGTAGCGATTGCGTTAACATGCGAGTGGAATCTCTAACCCAACCCATAATCGCACACAATTTTTTATTCTGCTATCGCAATTAAAGTTCATTTTTTTTTATCTGGACTGCGGCAATGTTGCAAATTTAGTTAATACTTGTAGTGGCTTAATAATAATTATAATGTATTTATTGTCCAGGACTATTAATGATCATTAACTTGCAAATTAAAAGAAGAAAAAGTTTTGTGATTATTGCTTATCTTTTTCAAACCAAATGGATGCTATTTTCAAAGACAAGAAAATAAACTACTAGATTTTTCACAAAAAGGTTGAACCTAACAGCAAATAATTTTTTTGTTTTTTATTTCCCCCCCATTTTTTAAAATTTTAAAAAATTCTAATCTGCTTAGCTGAAAATAATACGTGATTTAATTTTTGTAAAACCAAAAACGTTACTTTTTTACTTCAAAAAGGTATTATATAATAATTAGCAAGTAAATTATCAATAATAAATATTACTGCCAATTTGACAGAGTATTTAATTATAATTATAAGGTCTTCAGCAGAAGTACCATTTTTTAAATAACATATGTAAATACTAAATCAAACTGCATACGCTACCAACTTAATAAAAAAACACGAACCCAATTAAAATCCAATTTTATTTGATAATTATCTGACAACTGTCAAGCAATTAACCTCACTTTTTCCAAATTTTAACTTAAAGCTAACTTCAGCCCGTGGGCGAAGTGCTATTTCGCCCACCAGTTGAAGTTAAAAAAATGAAATGGGTGTGAATAAAAGAATTTGTAGGTATATTTCTATACGTTTTCAATTGATAAAGTGGCTCAGTGGAGAACATTGACCTTTTTCTCTGTCGAGATTGTACTTTTCTCGTAACTATGACCATTATACGATGTTTCATTGGTTTTTGTTAATTAATTAATTATCATGACATTTAAGTGGTGTTATTCAACAAGAAACCAACCCCTTACTTCTGCCAAACTACACAGTAAAAAAGTATTTGTTAATTTTAAACAAATATTAACCAGATTTTATGTTAATCCAGGCCTCCTAAGTTTATATAAACTTAACATATGTTAAGTTTATAACCAACTGTATCTAATCGAATAAATAGTTTACATATATAAACACAAAAATAACATACCCACAATTATAATTATTTATAAATAACATCATTTTGAAATCATCAAATTATAAAGAAATTTGGTACAATATAATTATCAGTACTATAGTACCTACTACATTATACTACAACACTCGTTAAGTCGGTATAAGAAATCCGAATAACAATAATAACAGATTTCTGGACAGTTGTTACGAACACGTTACGAATTAGAATAAAGTAAGCAGAAACATGAGTTGCATACGCTGAAGTCAGTTGAACTTGTAGATGCGTATTGTTGTACTGAAGCTGGATGTATAAGGATAAAAAAGTTAATGTGAAATGTAATAATGTAACGTAATAATGGCTGGCTAAAATCACGTGTACTTTTTTAACGAAATAATGTGTTAAACATTAACAAAATAATCTGTAACCTTTGAAATTAACAAAATTGCATATTACCTTTACAAAACTTTCGGTAAAAAAATTTCATTTATTAAAATAATTACAAACCATGGTTTTTTACAAAAAATTATGTTAAAATTTTACAATATAAAATACAAACTCACGTTGACAAATGATTTTTATAACAGTGTGAGTTTCTTTATTACTTTAGGTTTAACGTAATAATTTTATTTCTAAATCGCTAGTTTCGTACTATACTTTTCATTTCTGACAATATTTTTTCTTTTTCAAAAAAATTTGTAAATTTGTTGGTTGGTTCCTTGTTGACTAAATTAATTTAATTAAACCCAGATAACAATGGTGCTGCGCACAAAATGCTCACATAACATAACGCATTTAAAATGAAGTCATGCTTCGAAGCATGAGTTTTGAGTGCAATATTCATGCATTTTCGCATATCGCACGCGTGCGTGCTGGTACTCAATCTCATTCAAATGTGGGTGTAGGAATGATAACATTTATTGTTAAACAATGGTAATAACTTAAGAAAGTGCAACTTGCAGGTGTATTTTAAATATATTTTCCACTTATTCCCAAACAAAACAGCGTTATATTGAATTATTTCCATAATTCTGAAGCGCGATAGAAAATTCAAAACAACGCTGCAAAAAAAGATGGTTGTTTTTATGTGCTGAAGTGCAAAAATAGGAGTGCAAAAAAATACCTATTTGCACTGTCAAAAATGAAGTACTTAAATGTCAACAAAAAAGCTGACTTTTTGACGATGAATAACATGAATTAAGATTATTTATTAACATATTAATAATTATAAATACACTCACAGGCAAAATAATCGATCCACACAAATTTTCGATGAATTTCAATCGCAAATAACTTTTTTATTTGATGTCGGATTTAAACGAATATTATAGAATATTGTAGATAAATTAATGGACAATCGCTCACATTTTAAAAAATACTAAAAAATAGACGTACGTTTATAATATACAGGTTTAAACAAAAAGATGTTTTTTACCATAAGTTTAAGACACTCTGTAGAGTGGCAAAACCGTATATTGTTCTAAATTAAGTTTTATTTATGAAGCCACATCTAGCCTTAACAGTTTTGTTTTTGGTTCACATCGATATATTTATTTTTGTGGAAAATATGGATTTTTTAAAAAAACATTGCAATTTCCAATATTTTTCTGTATGAAGAACTAAGGTTGCTATGGTCCATTCATAGGCTATGGAGAATGACAGTGACAGTTTTGTTGAATCATCCCATACTTGGACATGTCATACACGGCTTTAAAAAGCTATCAAATTGTTTTTTAATGTTTAAATTTTGAGGTATCTTCTTACTTAAAATGGATATGTCTCAGACTGATGTTGCCAGAGCCATTAATTTAATCCAGGATCACGGTCACAGTATTACGTGGCAAGTGTTTTAAACGTCACAAGAAGTAAAGTACAAAGGGCAACATCAGTCGGAGACATTTTTAAAAGTAAGAAGACACCTCAAAATTAACACATTAATTTACAAAAAACAATTTGATACCTTTTGAAAGCTGTATATGACATGTCCAAGTATGGGATGATTCAACAAAACTGTCACTGTCATCCTCCATACGCTATGGAAAAATATTGGAAATTGCAATGTTTTTTTAAAAAAATTCATATTTTTCACAAAAATAAATATATCAAGGTGAACCAAAAACAAAACTGTTAAAAATAGATGTGACTTGATAATTAAAACTTAATTTAGAACAATATACGGTCTTAACTTATGGTAAAAAACATCTTTTTGTTTAAATCTGTATATTATAAACGAACGTGTATTTTTGAGTAATTTTTAAAATGTGAGCGATTCTCTATCTGCAATATTCTTTAATATTTGTTTAAATCCGATATCAAATAAAAAAGTTGTTTGAGATTGAAATTTATCGAAAATTTGTGTGGATCGATTATTTTGCCTGTGAGTGCGTCAATTTTAAATATTAATACTTGACATAAACAAGTTTCTAATTATTATTATGATCCCTCAATTTCCTGCATTTCCTGTATTATTAAGCGTGCGCAATATACTTATTACTGCGCATGCGCGAGACGCATATGATGACACATATGTATCGTGACTAAAATTTGCTATCTGGGAACCGTTGTGTTGATGGTAATAATTGGTTAAATTACTTATTAAAACATGATCTTAAAGCGCTTTCAAAAGCCCTTTTAGTAAAAGGGCTTTTGGGAGGGCTTTTACTGACTGAGATTTTAAATTTTGCCTGCTACGTGTACTACATTGCCTTAGACATATAACTTAATGTGTAATATGCTCTAAGGCTCCCTAATAATAATACAAAAATATAAAATGTTTTCAAGGAAATTTGTAATCTTGAACTTTTTAAATTGGTATTCTAGATTAAAATGCCCTCTTTATATTAATAAACACTGGAAACACGAAAAAATAGTTGTTTAGTAAAATACAATGGGGAACAAGGAATTTTGAACGACTATTATCGTTGACATCAAAATCTAAACTTTCTTTATGGACAACCCTAGGTGGACAACTAACCTCACTTCTGGTTATCACTATTCTTGTCATTTTGACAGCGAAAGCAAAAAATGTGTATTATTGTATCTTTGCTATTTACAGATTTATACAATGACAACTAAATTATGATGTTCGAAATTCCGTGTCCACAACTGTACTAAAATTGTACTGTAATTTTACGCCAAAGGTGCAGTGCCTAATGCCTAGTGCCGATTTCATCTGAACGCCTTGGAAGAGAGTGGGGATGCACAGTTCGAGAATCATTTCGCCTTCAAATGCAAAACCCTAATGATGCTGCAAAATATCCCCACTCTCTCTCAAGGCGTTCAGCACCTTAAGCGTACAAATTATTATTAAATGTTAAAAATAACCATAACTTGTCATTTTTTGTGTTTCCGAGTAAAATAATGTGCAGGTTATTTGTAAGTCAATTATTATTGATATTGATATTAATATGAACTACTGACTAAAAATTGTACAATCAGTAGAGTTAAAAACGTAGAAATTAGATAGGAATTACCTAGGTTGTTTATAGCACACTTTATTTTGCATTCAGGAAAAAGTATAGTACATTAATAAACAATCATTGTAGTAAATATTGCAAATTCGACAATATTTTAAAGGAACTAACAAAGGCCTACATGTAAGACTAAACATAAAACGAGCTTTCCTTTTTCGTTTTCAGAATTAATAATAACACGCTGAAAAAAATGCGTTGACCACCATAATTTGATTTTTTTATG